GTTGGGCATGCAAATTGTGCGTGACAAGAAAGCCAAGAAAATATGGTTGTCACAGGAGAAGTACATTGAACGGGTGATAGCAAAGTTCAACATGAAAGATTCCAAGCTAGTCAATACTCCGCTGGCTAATCATTTCAAGCTAAGCAAGAGTTCTTGTCCCTCCTCTACTAAAGAAAGAGAAGAGATGGAGGCTATTCCCTACTCATCCGCCGTAGGGAGTTTGATGTATGCAATGGTGTCCACCCGACCAGATATTGCTCATGTTGTTGGAGTAGTAAGCAGATTCCTTTCCAGTCCAAGAAAAGAGCATTGGGAAGTAGTCAAGTGGATTCTAAGGTACCTCAAGGGTACGACAAAAATGTGTTTGTGCTTTAGAAATGCTAAACCAGTCTTGGAAGGCTATATGGATTCCGATATAGCGGGATATCTTGATGGTAAAAAATCTACATCAGGATTTCTGTTCACTTTTGCAGGGGGAGTTGTGTCTTGGCAGTCCAAGTTGCAGAAGTGTGTTGCTTTATCCACAACCGAGGCAGAATATATTGCCGCAGCAAAAGTTGGGAAAGAGATGTTGTGGTTGCAGCGATTTCTCCAAGAGTTGGGATTAAAGCAAGAAAAGTTCACGGTACATTGTGATAGCCAAAGTGCCATAGACCTGAGCAAGAATTCGATGTACCATTCTCGCACAAAGCACATTGATATTCGGTATCATTGGATATGCGAAGTGATAGAAAAGCAATTATTGGAACTGATCAAGATCCATACAGATAAGAATACAACTGAAATACTGACAAAGCTGGTCTCGAGAAACAAACTCGAAATCTGCAGAGACATTGCCGGGATAGACTTCAAATGAGAAGTCAGCTCCATATGGCCGTGGAGGGAGAGAATTGTTAGTGTTCCACTGCCCATTCAAATGGAGAAACCACTATGGATAGTGGCTGTCCCACTCTTCCACTTTACCCATCCCATTAGCTAATTGATGGAAAAGCAATTATTGGAACTGATCAAGATCCATACAGATAAGAATCCAGCTGACATACTGACAAAGGTGGTCTCGAGAAACAAACTCGAATCTGCAGAGACATTGCCGGGATGGACTTCAAATGAGAAGTCAGCTCCATATGGCCGTGGAGGGAGAGCATTGTTAATGTTCCACTGCCCATTCAAATGGAGAAACCACTATGGATAGTGGCTGTCCCACTCTTCCACTTCACCCATCCCATTAGCTAATGGAAGGGGTTGGTGGCAACCAATGAGCTCCTCTCTCAATTGTGTATAAATTAAGGTGAGGAGGAGGGGTTGGATAGACAAGTGATTACAGTGTGTGTAATCTGAGAGATTGTGAGAAGTGAGAGTGCTATAGTGTGTAAGTGGGGTGTGTAAACTCCCTCTAGGAAAATTCTACAGTGGATAACTCTCCGTGGACGTAGGCAATTGCGAACCACGTAAATATTCTTGTGTTATTGTGTGTGATTGATTTCTGGTGTCTCACAGTCCCAACAAGTTTTATTTTTGAGAGTGAACTTGTAACGAGGATTCCTTGTAACTCTCAATTGCTTGATGATGCATTATCCATAGGAACTTCAAGTTCATCATCAAGGTTGTATAAGTTCTTCACTCCTCTTCAAAAAGTGAACCTTCTTAGTGGATTAGAAGATTGTAGATTTTGGTGGATTCTGAAATTATTGGCATCGTGGCAATTCAACAATCGTGGTGAATATCCAGTGGAGATCGTGGAGGCACCAGTAGAGTGAACAAAGACGTGTGTCGGTAAGTAGACTCATGTAGCCTGGATTAGCCTTTGTAAGATATCCCTTGTACTACCTTTCTTGCATAGTGGATTATTTTTCTGGTCGAGAGTCCGTGGTTGTTTTATCACAAGTTAGTGGATTCCAATTATGATTTTCCACGTAAAAAATATTGTGTCATGGATTGATTTTCTCTTACTCTCTCTTATTTACATTGATCGTGATTGCTTAATTTTTAATTGGATTGCTTAAATCAATAATTACATTAAACGGGATGGGCCTAGATTTTTCAAAAGAGATTTTTTGCACAAATCTAAGTTTTTCAGACCAAAATAAAATATGTAGATTTTGTGTAAAATAGACAATTTGATTCTATTGATTTTTCTTACACTGGTGGATCAGAGAGAGAATAATTTTTTTTAAAGACATGGTCATTAGCGCTGTAGTCCTGGAAGACTCATCTCTGAAGACTTTCGTGAGTTGAACTAGGTCTTCGTCTAAAATCTTAAACAAGAGAATCAAATCAAATAATTGAAGGATATGATCAAAACCCAATTACTATATTTTACTTTACCACATAAATTTGCAGATTTTTTTCTAATATAAATAAATTCCACTAAATTCATTCTAGTTCGTTGTTATAGTTTTTTGTAATCCTTGATTGATTGGGTCTAGTAAACTCTCAATGAAGTCCCTAGATTGTCAATTCCAAGTGAGTTTGATTGGGTCTTAGTCATTGTTCTCTTTTTTCTTGCTATGGGCAATGGCATCAATGAAACAGATCAACTAGCATTGCTTGCATTAAAATCCCAAATAATTGATGATCATTTCAAGCTTTTCACCTCCTGGAATGATTCCGTCCATTTCTGCCAGTGGAACGGTGTCACATGCGGCCGTCGTCACCACCAGAGGGTGGTCCTGTTGGATCTCTGGTCCCTGAAATTGTCAGGCAACATTTCACCATATATAGGTAACCTAAGCTTTCTCAGAGCTCTACACCTCCAAAACAATAGCTTCGTTCACATAATTCCCCCAGAACTTGGCCACCTGAAAAGACTAGAAGTTTTGTACCTCAACAACAATTCAATCAGCGGTGAAATCCCAGCCAACTAATCTGTTTGATCTAAGCTCATCGACTTCGATGTTGCTTACAACAACCTGGTGGGGCAACTTTCTATGGAGTTTGGCTCCTCTTTGCAAAAACTTCAAATTATACATATTGCACACAATGAACTCAGTGGAGGTATTCCTTCTTCTTAAGGAAATCTATCATATCTTCAGAAATTTTCTGCAATAGAAAATAATTTCCAAGGAAGTATTCCTAATGCTTTTGTCAGATTGAAAAATCTTAAGATTATTGCTATTGCTGTCAATAATTTGTCTGGGACCATTCCGGCATCAATCTTCAATCTCTCCGGTATTAGGGTTTTGGATGTTGCAGTGAACCATATCAGAGACTCTTCCTTCTAAAATAGGAAATGTTCTTCAAAATCTTAAGATTCTTAGTATTTCCACTAATCAGTTTACTGGATCCATTCCCATTTCAATTTCCAATGCCTCGAACCTATTTTATTTTGATACATCAGAAAATGACCTTATTGGAGGAGTGCCAACTATGGAAAAGCTGGATAAACTTCACCGATTGTCAATCGCATCCAATCATCTTGGGAGTGGTCACATTATTGATTTGGGCTTTCTGCCCTCTTTGAACAATGCCACTGGTTTAGTGCTACTTGATCTTGGCGATTACAACTTTGGAGGAATGTTGACTGAAACCATTGACAACCTGTCCACTAAGCTTAGAAAAATACAACTTGGTTATAATCAGATATTAGGGAGCATTCCTTATGGGATACAAAATCTCATCCACTTGGAAAGAATATGGCTTGTTGGCAATCACTTTACAGGTAATTTACCATTTGATATTGGAAAGCTTCAGAACCTACAAGATTGGGACTTGTCAGAAAATGAATTTCGGGAAATATCCCATCCTCTCTAGGAAATTTAAGTTTCAGAAAATGAATTTCGGGAAATATCCCATCCTCTCTAGGAAATTTAAGTTCGTTAATTAAACTTGGTTTGAATCAAAAGAGTCTTCATGGCAGCATCCCTCCAAGTTTGGGTGACTGCAAAAATTTGTTGTCATTGAGCCTAGCACATAGCAAGCTTAGTGGGCCAATACCTCAACTAGTTATTGGTCTTTCCTCATTATCACATTTGGACCTATCTAAAAACTATTTAACAAGTTCTCTTCCAGTGGAAGTTGCAAACTTGAAGAACCTTGGTTACTTGAGTGTTTCCAGCAATATGTTATCTGGTGAAATTCCCGGCACTCTTGGCAGGTGTGTAATGTTAGAAACACTATATATGGATGGTAAATTTTTTCAAGGAACCATTCGTTCTACTTTGGCTTCTTTGAGAGGTATTCAATTCTTAGATCTCTCTCGCAATAATTTGTCTGGACGGATTCCAGAATATTTTGCGGCATTTAATTTATTGCAGAATTTGAACTTGTCCTACAATGATTTTGAGTGTGCAGTGCCAACAAAAGGTATATTTGCAAATGCAAGTGCAATTTCAGTCAATGGGAATAACAAGCTTTGTGGAGGTGTACCTGAATTACAGCTGTCCTTGTGCAACTCCATACGGTCCAAAAAGAGGAGATTGACTCTCACTTCAAAATTGGCAATTTCTATATGTAGTGGGCTTTAGGGGTATATTTTATGTTGTGCATTCCATATATTTGTCGGTATAGAAAGGCAGAAAAAGATCTTTCTTCCGTTTCACTAAAAAAATCACTCTTGAAAGTATCTTGTCAAACTCTTCTCAAAGCTACTGATGGATTCTCTTCAAGAAATTTAATTGATGTTAGTAGTTTTGGGTGTGTGTATAGAGAAATTTTTGAACATGATGGAACAATTGTTGCCATGAAGGTACTCAACCTCCAGTGTCATGGGGCTTTCAAAAGTTTTTTTTGCCAAGTGTAAGGCCTTCAGGAACATTAAACATCGCAAACTTGTTAAGGTACTGACCACATGTTCAGGTGTTGATTATCAAGGTAATGATTTTAAGGCCCTGGTTTATGATTTCATGGTAAATGGAAGTTTGGAGGATTGGTTGCATCCAGTCACAGGACTGGATTTGTTGCACAATTAATCAAAGAAACTAGGTCTTCATCAGCGATTGAACATTTCTATTGAAGTTGCGTGTGCATTGGATTATCTTCACCATGATTGCCAAACACCAGTAATGCACTGTGATATGAAGCCAAGCAATATTCTTCTGAATGAGGACATGATTGGTCATGTAGGCGACTTTGGGTTAGCAAGATTCTTGCAAGAAGCCAACTATAACTTCAATGTAAAGCAAGGAAGCTCAACAGGAGTTAGAGGAACTATTGGATACACTGCTCCAGGTAAATATTATTTTTATCCGCTTCATTAATTATATTTCTATATTTTTTTCTACATTCTTTGGAGGATTCTTTCATTTGCAAATTGAATTCATGCAGGAAACACACCCATATGTTCACAAAGATAGCTTAATAACCAAACCTTCCGAGGCAAAATTTGTAGTTTCTTTTATTCTGCCTTTTTCACAGACAATCTGAGTGGGCCTCAGAATGATTAGGGGTGACATACTGTAACAAGAAATTAAGATTGCTAGACCAATTTCCAAATGCCAAAACTATATATATATTTTTTAGGACCTTAGAATAAAGATATCTAGTTCTGTTAGGAGTTTCACGCTACTTTATTTTACTATTTTCTCACTAGACCATGTTTCAATATGAAACATCTGAAAACTCGAAAATCACTGTTCCACGAATAATATGTGTATCAGTGGATTTTGTTATAATTGGCCTCAAAGACTGGCATGCCAAGATACTTGACAAACATATTAACATAAATGAGTCGTAAGAAGTTTTTTTTGCTGCCCTCCTTTATCTACTTGTTTTTAAATTTATTTATTTATCTTTTCATAAGAATTTAGATTGGTATTAACTTATTGAAATCATTGATGGCCTTTTCTAATGAAACAACTGATGTATAGAAAGGATTTGAGTGTTTTGATAATTTAAGTAATTGTTATCCCTCAAGGTTGGGCTTTGTTAGAAGGCTTGCGGGTCTGTTCACTTTATTTCCATTTCAATCAATGTCATTTCAAGATTCTCATGTCAATGGTTATGTGCTTATAAAGAAACACTCTTTTCCAATTACAGCTGCAATTCAATGCATGATGTGTTTATTGCAGAGTATGGTATGGGAAGCGAGGTGACAACAAAGGGAGATGTGTATAGTTATGGCATTCTCTTGTTAGAAATGTTCACAGGGAAGAGACCCACTGATGATATGTTGAAAGATAGTCTGAACCTTCATAACTTCGTTAAAATGGCTTTGCCTTATCCAGTGGTAGAAGTTGCAGATCCAATGCTTCTTTGGGAAGTAAGAAGAAAAAACTCTGGATATCAGAGTAAAAACCCAGGAGTTCTTGATTTTGATTTTGCAAATTGGAGTTACTTGTTCTGCAGAGCTGCCGAAGGAAAGGATGAACATCAGTGATGTTGTAGCTGGGTTGCATTCTATCAGGAGCATTTTTCTGGCAACTGTACACTCAGAACAAATTATTTAATCAATTTCAGTAGATAATATAGTTGAGTCTTATAAACCAAATTTGGATAGCTGAAGAACCAATTCTATGTTTCCATTTCAAAATGCCTTGTGCAAAATGTTCTTGTATTAGAATATCTTAAAAAACAGAATAGGGTTAAATTCTGTTTATGTAAAAATGCTATAATAGTTTTGTTCTTCATGAGCAGCAGTTGAATCTGTGATATTGTTGTTATTGTTTTCGTTTTGGTTAATCAAAAACCATTTTAGTTTTGGATTTTTTTATCATTATTGATTTTACTTGGTACACAAGCCAAACTTGAACTTTTAAAGCATTTTTCATGTTTGTGTATCTATGTGCATACATCCTTTTGTATGTTTGCATCCATGTATGCATATTACAACCAATTATCTTTAAACCATTTTTGCCAACATAAAATTTCAATGGTTTGCATTTTTCAAAGCTATTTACTTTCTCTTTCTTATTCATACAAATCAAGAACAAAAAAAAAAAAAAAATTATGTAGTCGAAATCATTAGAGATCCCGTTATAATTATCTTTGTTCTCTCTTTTTTTTTTTGGGGGGGGGGGGGTGTATTGTTTTGCAACTGCACAAATCCAATGTCAAGAATTCATGCATTCAACCAAATTGCACTATTTTTTTCTTCACTAAGAAATTAACTTAATCTTGATTGGCATTTGAGCTTAATGCATAAATTAATTAATTCATCCAACCAACAAGTGGATCGATTTAGGGCTTATGATGTTTCTCAGAAGTTTATTTTTCCAGCAGCCTGCAATAATTTGATCTCTCCACGGATTTTGAAAGGTACAATTATTTTTGTAATGAAATCAATCAAGACAAAATGAGGAAGGTGAATATATATATATATATTTTTCCCACTTGGTGTAATTTTGAAAGTCACAATCCACAATAGCCTTTTGAAGATGCTGTAACTTTGTCAACCAGATAGATCATCACAACATCTAAATTCTATCAAAAAAAAAAAATTGCTATATTTATGCTTAAATTTAATCCATCAATATATATTATTAATGTTAGAACAATTCGTCTAGGATTCTTCAATTGGTGGTCTTCGGGTCTTCAAAACTTGGCAATGATCTTCTCTATATAGAACAGAAAATTAATGCTTCAAGTAGCGTTACTTAGTCGCTTTCCTAAAGACAATATTTGTACCCACCAAAAGGTGTGCTGTGGGTTACAACAAATTTGCCTCCAGAATACAATGAAGCTTGATCTAAAGATCTAGTCTATCGACGTCTGCACTGATGACAATAGATCAGAATACTCTTGATATAATCCAGAAACGAAGACACTGATAATCAAATCTGCAGAACTTGATTATCAATAAGAAAAACAAAAAATTGCTTAAGAAACTCTTGATCGAAAATTCAAAATCAAGAAGGAGAGAGAGAGAGAATTGCAGGAATGCTTTTCAGGATTTTGGATTGAATGAAATGGCTGATTTCATAGCCTATTTACAGGCCTTGATGGATCTGATTGAATGGTTATGTCTCTTGATCACATCCGATCAGATCTGATCGTTGGATCGACGATCCATGGTGCAAATCATTCTAACACCGAATAGATCCCTTGACTAATCACACCTGATCACGATCAGGTGCCATCTGATAAGTACGATCGTGCACATCCCCAATTAACGACTATGATCAACCCGCTCTAGATCGGACACACAACCGTTTGATCGGTTGGTTGACTCATCGCCAACGGACGACACGTCACTGCCATGTGGAGCTAACTGTATTCCATGTCACTTATGCCACGTCAAATCCACGTCATCACTCCAACTTGTCCGATGCAAATAGGAAAGCGCCCTCCTGGCTCTTTGTGCCAATGCATTCGTGCAAAGTGCAAAGTGCGCCATCAAATGCCACACAGCCCACTGCCTACAACACGCGCACGCACGCGTGTGCGTATGCGTGTGCGGATGGTGCACCATCCTTGCGGTGTGGGTGTATGCACACTAGCTTTCAAGGTTTTTAGGAGAAAGGAAGATTAGAAGGAAAAAAGTGGAGTTTCTGGGTTTTAATTTGTTTTTGTGTTTCTGTGTTTACATATCTAACCGTAGTTTCTGTGTTTACATAGCTAAGTGTATGTTTGCAACAGTACACGTTGATGGACGGCCACTGAATGTTATTACCAGATTGTTGGGTCTTGATGGGCTGCCTCCTCAGTAGCCTCTTGATAGGCAACAAAAAGGGTTCTCGGATACTTATCGACAATAGACTGCACCAGTATCATCGCAAAGGGATGGAAAACCATATGAACACCGATCAAATAGGATAGACTCAATGGCGCAGCAAGAATGTAAGGATGAGTATGAAGTTTTGGAAACATCAAAGGTTGAGATGAGTAGTTACCCAGCAAAAAGGACTATAAACTCAAACCTGTCTGAGGCAGAGATGGCGTTCATTCAACAGAAGTTCATGGCTGACCATGGTTGGCTTCTTGCTCAACTAATTTTTTTAGTTGTATGATATTTGGACTGCCCAGTTCTGTTAACTTATGAGCAGTTTTCATGGATTAAATTGGCTGTCATATTCAAAAGAATATTCCATGTAGCACTTTATTAAGTGCTCCATGTTTTGCTCTCTTTCCAATGTGGGACAAAGTCTCCAAGCTTATTTCATGCTTTCCAAAGAAAAACATGGAAGGTTTTTAAAACACCCAAAAATTAAGATATAAATTTTGAAAACCATTTTGAAAATTCCCCAACATTTCCCCACCATTTTCAAAATACCAGATGACGACTCTTGGTTCACTTGGCAACCTTATGCATAGGTGAAGATATCTTAAGATTTGAATCGTTCACTTAGTGAAGACATCTCAAAGTTAGTCAAGACGGCATAGTAGACTTGTCTTTGAACTAGTGATCTTATACGACTAACCGAACATGTCTCACGTACAATACAGGTTACCTCAGGTATTCAAACAAACCGACACGTGGATTGGTGTTGTGTCTATATCCTGTTTCATGAGTGCTCTAGAGTCAAGCCCTTGGACTCATAGGAAGCGGCACCACCTCCTACACTCACATAGGTAAGCTTACTGAGAGTACCCTTGTAATTTACAGTACCCTAACAACCCAGTTGTAAGCTTATTAAGAGTTTGCTAACTCATCCTCTTCTTTTCACATTACAGGTGCCAAGCACTTCAACCTTGGGATGAAAATGAAATAAAACTAAGTGCTTGTAATCACGACATATAGTGTACAATGTTTCTTCAAGCGTTGAGTTGAGTTTCCACTAGGAGTGATTATGTTAGGTGGGCTTGAGACCCATCCCCTTTGATGTTTTCCACACCAAATCCCTTGCAAGTCCCTTTGTTAAGGGGTCAGCCAAGTTTTCATTTGACTTTACATAACTAATGGTAATCCCACCTTCTGTGATTAACTGCCTGACACAGCTATGTCTCAGTCCTATATGCCTAGACTTTCCATTATAGACATGGCTATAGGCCCGTGATAGAGTTGCTTCACTATCACAATGCAAAGATATTGGCGGCATAGATTTTGGCCATATCTTAATCTCTAACAAGGGATTCCTTAGCCACTTTGCCTCTTGCTACAAGAAGCCAACGCTACAAACTCTGATGCCATGGTTAAGTCTATTATGCATGTTTGTTTCTTAGAACCCCAGGAGATAGCTCCTTCTCCAAGAGTAAAAATCCAACCACTCGTGGACGAGTGATCTTCATGGTCAGTTATCCAACTAGCATCTGTGAATCCTTTCAGCACTATTAGATAGCCATTATAGACTATTCCATTGTCTATTGTTTTCCTCAAGTACCTAAGTACTCGGTTAACAGCACGCCAATGCACACTATTGGGATTACTAGTGTATCTACTAAGTTTTCCCATTGCAAAAGCAATATCAGGTCAAGTGCAAGTCATGGCATACATCAGGCTACCTATTACCCTTGAGTATTTTAGCTGGTCAACAGCTCTTCCAGTATTAGGATACAATTTCAAATTTGAATCAAAAGGTATAGACATGGGTGTACAATATATTGATTAAATTTCTTAAGAATTTTCTCAATATAGTGCAACTAGGTTAGAATCAAATTATTGTCCTCTCGTTTGATCTTAATACCCAAAATTACATTAGCCAAGCCCATGTCTTTCATACTAAAGCTAGACGACAAGAAACTTTTAGTACTTTCAATGACGTCATTGTCAGTACCAAAAATAAGCATGTCATCTACATATAGACATATGATTACACCTCTATTTCCAATAAACTTACTGTACACACAGTTATTAGATTCATGTATCCTAAAACCATTTGACACTATTACTTTGTCAAATTTTTCATGCCATTGTTTTGGAGCTTGTTTCAGTCTATATAGTGACTTCACAAGTTTACACACTTTGTGCTCTTGACCCTGTACAACAAATCCTTTCGGTTGTTGCATGTTGATTTCCTCATCTAACTCTCCATTTAAGAAAGCGGTCTTAACATCCATTTGATAGATTTCAAGCTTATAGATTGAGGCTAAGGCAATCAACACTCGAATGGTGGCAATTCTAGCCACAGGAGCATATGTATCAAAATAATCGATACCCTCATTTTGAGTAAAACCCTTAGCAACTAATCTTGCTTTGAACTTGTCAATTGTGCCATCAACTTTCATTTTCCTTTTGAAAATCCATTTACAACCAATGGGTTTGGATCCAGATGGCAAATCAACAAGTATCCAAGTATTGTTACCCATGATAGAATCCATCTCATCGTTTATTGCTTCTTTCCAGAAAGCAACATCTTGAGAACTCATAGCTTCCTCAAAGGTTAATGGATCTGAATCCATATTCAAAGAAATCATTGTTTGCTTACAATAAGTTTTTCTAGTTCCTTCTACAAGGTAAACAATGAAATCAGGGCCAAATGACTTCTCAGTCCTAGCCCTCTT